GTGTGGTTTTTAGAAATTCCATCTTATTAGAAAATAATTTCTTTGGTTCTTTTTTATATTTGGGTGTCTATTCAATGTTAGAGGTATACATTAGAATGCTAGTAGATTAAACTGCAAGAGGTAGCTAATAGATTAGATTACTTAGCCCCAAGTTTTACAGTGATTCTTTGAATTTTTACGAATGCATTCCAACTGTTTTTTCCTCTTTAGTAGGAAATTAACTTACTATTTTTTATTTTTTATATTTGATCAATTTTGTTTTTGGGATATTTTGATTTATTTTCTTTTTATTGGCTTTTTTCTACATGTTTTTATTTCTTTTAGTTAAAATTTAAAAAATATAAAATTTTATTTGTGTAGATGGAGAGAAAGAGAGGGAGAGAAGTGAAGAGAAGAGAGGGGAGGAGAGAGAAGGAGAGAAGAAGAGAGAGAGAGAGGCATAACGTCTAATCTATATAAGGGAAATGGAAAATTACAGTGAATTATAAATATGAAAACTTTACAATGCAAAAGTATTATAAGTTAAATACAAGCTTTTATATTTGTCTCATTTCCATTTCTTTTATAGTTGGTGACTCCTCATAAGAAGGAGCTCCACTTTTGTTTGCGAGTTTCTTCAATAAATTTGTGCACCCAAACACAGGTACGCATGCTTTCTTTTTTATTACAATATTAATGTTATAAAATCAATTTAAAAGCATTTTATTTTCTATTGAATTAAAATAATCCTTCAACAATTAGTTTTTTATTTTTATTTATTATTCCTTTTTATTTGTATTTAAAGGAAAGATCTTCCTTCTTTGCAAACGAGATAGTGAATTGAACTAAAAAAAATTGGATATTGTGAAAATATCTTTAGGGTGGACTCTTTTGCAGACCTAGAGAAAAGATATAATCTCTCAAACCTTTTTCATTATTTTTATTTTTATGTTTAGTTATTGTTTTCTCTTGATCAATTGAATCAAAAACTAGATAGACACATGGAAGACCCTCGTATATCATTGCAACAATATCTATAATATCAACCTAGTATATTGTAACAAGAAGAACAAGAATATGAAGAGGTATATCTCGATACAAAAGACGATGTCGATAACCCAAACATGCAAGAAATTTTCAAAATGAATTATGAAGAAGAAGATATGTGTGATGCAGTATTTGAAATCCAACCATGTGAATCTGAAGGAGAAATTAAGATTAAGCTAATGATGCAAATAAAAATTATTAATTTCTTAAATTTTTTTATATATTTTTCAATGACTTAAAAAATGTTATTTGAATTTTTAGTTTTTTCTAGTATTATTCTTGTCCCTTTTAGTTGTAAAGATTTAAGGAGTGAGGTTTACATTTTCTTTTTTAAAAAAGATAAATATGGATGGGGATTATCATGGTTGGGTTGGTTAGGATACGTTAGACTTGTTTTTTAAAGAAGTAGAACTAAAATTTAATTTTTACTTTTATTTTTTATTAATTTTATTTGTATTTAAATGGTATAGCTCCCTTCTCTGTAAAAGAGATGGCGAATTGAGTAAATAATTTGGGTTTTGTGAAAAGATCTTTGGCGTGGACTCTCTTGCATACCCAGAGAGGGTATAATATCTCAAGCCCCTTATTTTATCTTTTATTTTTATGGTTTTTTTTTTTTTAATATCAGTTGGTATTAGAATAAAAAAGATCCAGCAATCGCAATGCCACCGAAAACTAATCTCGCTATGGATCATTGCATAGGACAAATTATAGAAAATCTAACCAAAGTCATGAAAGATGTTCGAAGCGAAGTTCATGAAATGAATCAGCGGTTGTAACAGTTAGAGAACAATGTTCTTGGAGAAGATGGTGCTCGCAATCACATCAATTGTTACCCTAGAGACAAAACACCCTCCACAATCGATTCCAAATGCCGATCCTATATTTAACAAGCACATCGTGATGCAAGAACCACGAATTGAAGAACATCCACGTGATATTGGTATTAAAAATGATCTTTACAAGTTTTATGAAGAACTTGAAAAATAAACCAAGATTAAGCTTGAGATCCTAGTGTTATATTTCAAGTTGCATACAAAGTATTTGATAAATTGATTTATTGAAGACAAAGTATCGAGAAGAATGGTGGGACTATATCACCACTTATTCCATTGGCCTCTGAAAGAGATAAGCTCAAAGTCGAGCTTCTCCCAATCCTACGAGAATGATGCAAAAATAACAAATAATTTTTTATTTTTTATTTTTATATTTTTTTGATTAAGAAAATATGTTATTGGATTTTCAATTTTCTCTAGGGTTATTATTGTCTTTTTTTAATTGCAAAGATTTAAGGTGTAGAATTGAAATTTTAGTTTTATTTTAAAAAAAGATGGATATGGATACGAATTAGCATGGTTGGATTTGGTAGGATATGTTAGACTTGTTTTTAAGAGATAAGAGAGAGATAGAGTTTAGTTTTATTAGTGGCCACATAGATATGTATCGGGAGGTATTTTGTATTGTATTTAAAGGGAAGAGCTCCCTTCTTTGTAAAAGAGATGGTAGATTGACTAAATAATTTAGGTCTTCTGAAAAAATCTTTGGGGTGGACTCCTTGCAAACCGAGAGAGAGGGTATAATCTCTACCTCATCTTACAAGTGCCTGGTTAAATCGTCCACAAGTAAGACAAAGAGGTATGAGCTCAAATTGTCCACAAGTAAGACAAAGAGGTATGAGCTCAATGTTGATCCTGATGTAGACCTATTTTCACTTAAAACTCACTTGTCCCTCCACTAGTTGTTCGCACACTAATTATCAGCTTATTATTGCTCCCTCATACATATCTCTCGGGGCCCCTAATAACCGAAAAGTTTAGGAAAATAAAACACCTGCCTGAAATTATAAAGCCAAGAAGAGTGGTATCCCACAATCTTAAAAGAAAACCATTTTTATCCTTTGATGAGTTTGGTGAATTGTGAGGCTCCTAGGCAGGTGGTATCTTGCCATACAGGTTAGCCTAACAATGCAAAAGGATCAAAAGAAGTAGTCCCAGGAGGGTGTAGTAGCCTCAGAAGCTGCATATATGGACCAGTAAAGGGGACAGTAGCTCCAGCTGACGGGACCATAGCATCGCGGGGAAAAGGCAAAAGGGTAGCTAGTAGGCTGAAGCCTGAAATGCAATACCACACTAGAAGTGTGGCAAGGCAAAGCAGTCCAACCCACTTAAGGTCCGAGAACCATCCCCGACAGGACGAGCCCTCAACTTCACCTCGCCCGAGCAAGCTACTTCTGAAGTTAAAGAGAAATCAGACCAGGGACGAAAAAAGGGAAAGTCTACTACCACCAAGGATTACCAAAGACCGGTGCAGCAACAAAATCGCCGTCCCTTCCAGCAGCTCACAAGAAACTGAAGAGGAGGCTCACCATATTCTTGTGGTCCACTGAGTGACTCCTTTAAGGCCATGACAAGAAAGGGGAGGTGAAGGTGCCGATAACAGTGACTTTCATGAGATCAAGCCTTTTCAATACAATGTTTTCTCAAAACAAAGATCCCATATAGAATTAAGCTTATGGTGGAGGGTGGTTGGAAAAGGACACAAGACGTTGGGTTGACTGAGGATAAGGTTGGGTTGAGGGTAAGGAGGGCCATGTGGTATTGTGGGTTGTGTCGGAGTTGGGGTAGTACAAGGATTTCATTGGAGAGGGTGCAAGGAGAAAGAAGTATGGGGTGTGGGTGGTAGAAGGAATCCATTGGAGAGGGCAAGCCTTGGACTGGCCTGTTGCGGCCCTACTATGGGGTTATGAAGGAATAGGGGCTGTTGTTGATTGCAGATGTGGAGGGGTGATGTGGTGGGACTATGATGGCTAATGGATTTCCATGGATAGAACTATCAGAATAGTAGTTTTTCACGTACTGGAAGTGCCATTGCTACAAGGGACATTGTTTGGGGCAGGAAGGGTCCTTGAAGGAAAGGACTAGCCCCCTTTTGGCTTGGTAGGAACTACAGGCTACAATAATATAGCTTTGGCATCAAACCATTAAATAAGCACAAAAAGGAAATCAAAATAAATCTCCTCATCAAACAATCAAAATATCGATAAACTAACACAAAGTATCATTTACATAAGAACCAGGACTCAGATCAATGGGAAAGATGTGGTACACGGCTGAAGTTTACATAAGTGAAATATTTTCCCGTTTTGTTGAAGGAAACAAGAATCCAAAAAAAAAGAGGTGAACTGCTAAAATCAAGTGTTTCATGCCACAACAATCAAGTTGTACTGTAGTAAATTGGACAGGTTTTATACGAATCCTATTTCTGTGTACATTAATATAATTCATAGATAAAAGAAAGGGTACAAAAGGATGCTTAACACAGCTTAAGCTACTTGTTGGCGTAAAATCCTGTAGCCCTATGCCACTCCTAGATAAATCGACATAAAGTAACTTATTGGCCTCCTTGGGCATGTGATCAATATGAACAACACAGAGATTCGATGATAGAAAAAACAAATTCAGCAACAATCCCTCATAGTATCTAAAGGGGACTGATTCTTTCCTAGGCTGACATACTACATAAATGGGATCACCTTACTAATTGCCAAACAAACATAATTTCCTTGACTATCGCTATCACACCTATAAAAGCCACTACTCTTCAGGCCCACATGTCCTCTTCAATACTGGGGACTAGGGTCGCATTTCAGGATCCATTTTTCTACTACTGCTACAGAAGCCTTCAGGGCAAGGTTACCATTTGCTACCTCATAAAAATACATCTCAAAAACTCCCCTTCTAGAATCGCTCCACTCAATTATTGCGTGGCAACATGTAAACTCACGTGAAAGACCTAGTCCATAGATCTTGAAGTGTGCTCTATGGACATTAGCAATTTATGATAGCAGACGTGCGGAACCTAGGAGGTGACATTACATTTTATAGTCCCAAAAGAAAGTGGGCATTCAAATAAATTAGTTAGTTTCCAGAAAGGATGACTTATGGCATTGATCCTTCATGTAAGACACTGGAAATATGGAAATAAAAGAAAAGACAAACCTTAAACAACACACATGGCAGCAGGAGATTGCTAAGATCAACCAAACATGGTTAAAGCCCTTTGAGAGGACAATGTGCCTGTGGATCATAGAGTTCAAATTGAAATCCTAGGTCACCCAGGCTGCTCTAGGTCCACGTTGATACACACAATTGGAGACGAAAGAGAGAGAGAACAAAAGTTAGTTATAATATTTGCATCTTAAATCTTAAGAATCTTGGAAATTGATTAACCACAAGATATGGAAGAATAGGAAATAGGTCCAATATAACAAAATTTATGCATTACCTAATTGTCCCCTCGACCAAACCACAGCAAACACTCAAAACTTTCTATCATTGATCAAAAGGTGCCCCATGCACATAAGAGAAGGACAAGATGAGACAATGGGAAGGACACAACATCGCAATGGACCATACAAGTCACCTCCATTTAAAAATCTCATTTGAATCCAGCCAGGAGTTCTATGATCCTTTGTCTTTGTGAATGCAAATTGAAATCCCAATACACATTAGGTTAGACCAGTTTTTGAAGAAAATGGATCAGTGTGCTGGATCGTCCACCCACTGATTGTGTGATGGACCGCCACATCCCTGATTTGGATTGGTCCAAATCAGCGATTTGGAAAAAATTGAAAAATTTTAAAAAGACGGGTTTATGAATTGTAATTTACTAAGATACCTCATAAAACATAGAAAACCTAAAAGAAAAAAATAAATAAAAAGGGGAATTTTGAGGGGTTGGGGGGAGGGGTATGGGGGACATACCGATTCCTTCTTGGAAGGGTTCGGTCCGGGTCGATTCTCCATCCATATCAAGCGACTCCTAGTCCAAACCACAAGTTTTAAATCATTGGGTTAGACTTCAACCTAAAGCCCAGCCAAAGAATTATAAGAGAGGCACAAGACCAGGGTATTGGGAGATACCTAAGCCTCTCAAAATACCTTGACCATATAGTGGATGAATCATGTACGAGACACGGAGAGAAACAAAGACTCTGTTCTTCCCAAAACTCAAACTACAAACCAAACCAAATATGACAATCCCTAATGGAATGCAATTTAGATAATTCCTCAATAATAGAAACAAAAATATGAGATTTCCTGATCGCAAATGTACAAAGATGATGAATCAAGTTACACATGAGAATGCAGGCTTCCTAAATTATCAAAAAGAAAAATCTCCCTTATTTACAGAGCAGTTTGTATTTACATTGTAATACTGAATAAAGTAGGACTAAGCCAAATTGTGGAACATACACAATAAAACCTTACAATACAGATATATTAAGTTTGTTAACTTGGTACATTTACGAATCAAAACAAATGATCAATGGCTCAAATATGAGAAGTCTATCCATCAGGACGTGAGGTGAATAGGTGGAAAATAAACATATGAAAAACCACAAATTGAGGTTCCTGGGGATTCCTTCCATTGTTATGCATCAAATTCATGACAATTACGAGCAAACCATTTATGCAACGATATAACATACAACTTTCTAAAGTTACTCTTAACAGTGATTGTAAAGGTCAAAGCTCTGAAGCAAGTATGGTGGCCCATAATTTCAATAAACATGCTTAATTCTTCAAAGTTTTTTGAGAAACAATCCTTCACTGAGGTCACTCTTATAATTTAGCTGGTCAACATGGCAGCTCTAACCAAGGAAAAATTTCAGTGTAGAAAAGTTTGATTGCTCCAATTGATAACCATACCACTTGTTTGTGTTCTGGAAGCCTCTTTTGGTGCTTTCTTTCTCAACATTTACCTAAATAACATGGAGTGGCCCTCAGGTTTCACATATGATGCATTGAAGATCTACCTAATAAAGTCCATAAGAAACCCAAAGCATATCGAGAATTCACAGAAAGAAACCAAAAGAAAAAAACAGTCAAACCATAATGAAACGTTAACTGAAATTTCATTTCACAATGGTAGAAAATTTCATAAAGACATAACATGGAAGTCAAATGAAAAGATACATTATGTTCTACACATCCCAAGTGGATGTGCCTGTCTCTGTGTCAGTCCACAGAGAGAGAGAGAGAGAGAGAGATAGAGAGAGATAGAGAGAGAGAGAGATGATTACAAAATAAACTGCAAAGGTACTCAGGCCATGCACATGCAGGAATTCATCTCTTTATTCAGAAAGTGAAGCTCGGATTTGAGTAGCCCTTATGCCCTAAGCAAAAATAAATGAGGCTGAAGCCCCTCAGGAATTCACAATTTATTATCAAAGACACAGACACAAGTAAACCAAAACTAAAAAAGGTAAATTTTAGATATCCTCTTAAACATCTAAAGGAGACTTAGAACAATTTTTACACTTGTTTGACAGATCAGAAGAAAAAGAGAAAAAGCACAGCTATCTAATGGAAAGGCTTAAAGAATAACATTAACCATTAACCATAGAGAAGAAAAAGTGGCAAATTAGTCTCCATGTGGTGAATGTGAATGAGATGCTAAGAACGCTCGCCTTGCCAAGTGATAGGGCATCGAACCAAAACCAACCGCCGAATATGATGGCAATTTTTTGCCGCAAATATTTCCTGATTGATCAAAAAGTATTGTGTAATTTTTACTGCCAACAGTCCTAAAGTAGCAACCTTCTGAGCTATCATACTTGTATGCTTGTTCTGTACTTGCTATTCCACTGGTTACCAAGTTGCCCTTGACAAGCATTTTGCCTTCACCTTCCTGCAAATTTCTTAGGTATTCAACAAAGAAACCAAAACGTGCACCCTTAAATGAATCTGTATTGAAACCCAACGAAATATTGGACACAAACGAGTAAGTGTCATTATCTTGGTCCACAGTATCAGTGTACAAGTAAAGAGGAAAAGATCGGAAGGATTGCATGTAATAAATATTGGCTGAGGGAACCATAGCATAAACACCATAATTGTTACCAATCTTCTGGTTCACGATCTGCATAGACCCATTCTTTCCAAACACCATTTCATTCATGTATGTGAAACCATGAAACACATGTGTGGTAATCTTCCCATACGACGATTTTACCCATCCGGTTGAGTCTATATACCTATCAGCATTAGTCCAAAACACCCCATTAAGACCCTTGAAATCCGAGACTAAAGTAGGCTTAATAGCTGGGGCTTTGTACTTAAAAAGCTTACCCTTTGTCTTTTCACTCCTACTGTCTAACCAAAGATGCAGGTTGGCATCTATGAACCATACACTAAGGCCATTTGTAACACCAAAACCAAGACTATGGTATTTCTCATCCAAAATTGACCCCAAGAATGGCGTGATATCAATGTCATAAGAGGGAAGATCAAATGATCCGATACCGGTAATAGGTCTCCAAAGAAGAGGATTGACTCCTCCAGTATAAACAACAGTAAATGGCCACACAGCACCTACTACTCTTCCATCTAAGCTCACTACAACTTCTCTAAATGGGCCATTACCGGGAGTAGCAGTCAAATTATTTGCCTCGATATAATTATTGGGGGGGTTGCCATACCAGAACTCATCTGAAGAGTGAAATGAGACATAGACCTCTAGAACAGCCCTATAAGCATTTGGGGGTATCTTGAATTCCTTACCCTGCACATCAGTTGAATTCTCTACCAAAAACCATAACCCATCATTCAACGGTGGAGATCGAGAAATGGGTAATATCAAATCTGCAAGGGAATCAAAACTAGAAGCATAATTTAACCTCTTTGAATGAATTTTATCAAGACCACCATGTGTTTCCGGGGGATAAAAGTGGATAGTGACATTGGCGTGGTAAATTCCAGTATATGTATTATCAACCAGATTGCCTAAATAAATAGACAAATTGTTGGGTTGTTTCAAAAGAGAAGAATACCTGGTTATGTCCTTCTTTACAGTCCAAATAATGCCTGTTGCTCTGGGTTCAGCTGTGCAACTTCGAAGAATCTCAACGCCACCAAGCCAAACCCCAAAAATCCTATCAAATTGCCTTCCTTTACAGGTAGAAGTCCATTCCAATACCACTTTGGACCAGTTAGAGCAAGTTTTGGGGGGATTATAAGACGCAGTAACAGGTGGTTTTCCATAAGTTTGGCCGAAATCATGTTGCAAAACCAGAAGGGAAGAGCATGGTTTCTTGTGGTGGGTTTGAATGTCCTTTGTTACTTCAAAGTAAACAGTAGGAGCATCATGGATGGGTTCAGGGAGTTTGGATCTGAAGAGAGAGGTTTTGTAGAGATTTGCATTGGAAGAGAGAGGTTGGGTGAGAAGAAACATGAGGAATGAAACGAGGGCCATGAGAGAGAAGGTAGCCATGGCACTTCACTGTATCTGTGATTCTCTTTCTCTCTCTAAAAGGTGTATTGGGCCGTCAAGCTCTTCGTTATTCATTGGCCATGGCCTACGCTTTTTGGTCTCCGAAGACGATTATTGATTAAGATGCGGACCCGGTTTTTATGCGGCCAAGCCCGCATATGTAGTAATGCGTCTTATTAATAAATCTATTTTTGAAATGGATTGTTAGACTTAAGTTTTAAAGACATGTAATCTCTAACATGGATATCACGAATATGAAAAAATAAATAATTTTTAAAACTAAAATTAATAATTTTAATAAAAATATATTTGAACCGTTATTTTCTATTATTTTTAAATGAACACCTACTGCATCCATCTTGAAGATAAATGCTTTATACTTTTTTGAGCGGCATGTATAGTCATGCGGTCCAGCCCGCATGAAATTCCTTAAGATACATGTGATTTTGAGAATCTAGAGGGCTATCCTTGTGCTATCCGGCCACTTTTTGTTACTTCTGAACATTGCTATCTCAAACTAAAATAAATTATCTTATAGCATACAAAAAAAATATTTTATTTGCTTGAGTTGTGAGCCCAGCTGCTGCAGATATATTTAAATAAATATTTAATAAATCATTATTTTAGATTGGAATCGTCCAATCCAAATTGAAAATTATTCAAGATAATTCGGTTCCTATAATATATGTAGTATAAGATGTTCGACCGGATCGGATAGTTCCGTATCGATTTTGTCCGAAAAACTAGAAATATCAACTTGTCCCCGTTCCCACTTCATATTTTCATTTTTTAATTTACAGTTTATTAATTGAAATTTTTAATTTGTAGTTTTTTAATTGAAAAAAATTTGTCGTTTTTAAATTGAAAGTTTTTAATTTGTAGTTTCTCAATATGAAAAACCAGAAATATCAACCGGTTCCCAGTTTCCACATCACGATTTCGATTTTTAATTTGTAGTTTCTTATTTGAAAAGAAAAATGTCATTTTTTAATTGAAAACTTAAATTTGTAGTTTTTTAATTGAAAAAACTACATTATCACTACACTTGTCTTTTTAGGGAAAAGTTTACATAGAGCTGAGGCTCTAAACAATGAAATTAGGGCCTACTTCAAAAATTTCACTAGAATTGTTTTGATGCTCAAATATACTCAAATTGATCATCGCGACATCATGCTACATGGACATGAAAAAAAAATGGATTTCAAGTTTTCGAAATGATGCATTCTTTAACGCATATTTGGACCTTCAATTTTCAAGATTTTCATAGATAAGCTCGATCTACACTATTTTTGAAGCTTTAAATCTTATAATTAAAAATGAAAATAGTTTTTAAGGCTCTCATAAAGATTTTCAATGCTGAAACTACATTTCTCGATGCTATTTGAAGGTGGGCTCTAACTTGATTATTTAGAGCCTCAGCTCTATGCAGACTACACCCTTCTTTTGATTGATATTTTTGAAGCTTTAAATCTTATTCTTAAAGCTATCATAAAGTATACAAAACGTACTCTTTTATTTATTGACATTTTTGAAGCTTTAAACCTTATAATTAAATATGAAAATAGTTTTTAAGGTTTTTTTTATTGATATTTTTGAAGCTTTAAATCTTATAATTAAAGATGAAAATCGTTTTTCAGGTTTATTTTTATTGATATTTTTGAAGATTTAAATCTTATAATTAAAGATGAAAATAGTTTTTAAAATTATCATAAAGATTTTAAGTATTAAAACTATATTTCTTAGTACCATTTGAAGGTCTACCTTAGATTGGTTAGAGCCTCGGCTCTATAGAAACCGCTCCCTTCTTTTTATTGATAAAACCCCATAAGACGGGAGAGCACGCTCCCTCCTCACAAACTCATGTGTCATTCTCGTCTTTATAGGGGCCTCTACACATAGAAATGCCGGACGTGGGATAATTTCACCACTTTCTCTCAAAACATTTGTGGTTTTGAATCATGTTTATTTTAATATTATAATTAATTAATTAATTTATATATATATATTATTTTTTATTATAGATGTAAATAAGATTTTTTAATCATACCATATTGTAAGAGAAGTTTTAACTTTATTCTTATTTTGTATATTAAAATAAAGAAAAATTACCACAAATATACTTTAATTTTTATCTATTTAGAAAAAAAATCCTCAATTTTCATAAACCTTGTGCACATTTTTTTAATTACTGTAAAAACTAATCCATGTTAGATGGCATTTTAAGTACCGTAAAAACTAATCTATGTTATACGGTATTTTAAATAACCATAAAAACTAATCCATGTTATACGGTATTTTAAGTACGGTAAAAACTATTCCATCTTATATGGTATTTTAAGTACCTTAAAAACTAACTTTTAAGTACTTTAAAAACTAAAGTGGTGTAAACCCTTTTTTCCTATGCATATTTATCGCTTTCATCTCTTTAATTTTTTTTATGTTTATCTCTTCTTTCTCTCTCTATTTTTTTTATATTTATCTCTTATTTCTCTCACTAACTCTCTTTTTCTTTCTACTTATTCATCAACTCAACAAACATGATTCCAACGCGATATAAATCTGACTCCATCTGGGATGGGGTTGAAGGGAGTGGGAGTTTTTATAGGGGGATGGTAAAGGTTTAGAGAGAGAAAGAAACACATAAATATTAAAAAGAATTAGAAAGAAAAAGAAGAGATAAGCCTAAAAAGAATTAAAGAGGAAAGAGATAAATATAAACCGGATGAAAGAGATAAATATAAACGGTAGAAAATGGCATGGTTAGTTTTTACCGTTCTTAAAATGCCGTATAATATTTTAGTTTTTACGTTAGTTTAAGTACCATAATTGTGCTTCACGGTAATACGACTACCGAATATTTTGGTAAAAAAAACGCTACAATTGAAAAAAAATGGTGTGGACGAGGTTTATGAGAGTTAAAGGTTTTTTTTCTAAGGAGACAAAAATTAAAGTATATTTGTGACAATTTCCCTAAAATAATTATAAAATATAAACAAATAGTTCCCATTTTAGTGTATAATATTATAATTAGTTAGTTTATGATAACTTTGGATGAATAAATAGAATTAATAAATATGTGATGTGATACCAATTTCACTTTATAATGGGTATTTATTTTTTAATCTTATAACATGGAAGTATTTTTAATACTTTTTTTAATTATTTTTTATGCAATATAATAATATTACATTATAATTAATAATCATACAGATATCTCAACAAGGAAATGTCTCAATATTCATGTATTTTTGCAAATAATGGAAATATATAATGTAACACCCCAGTTATTATTTAAAATTCAAAAAACATTATTTTTAGTATTCTTTGAAAAAAATTTAAGGACAAAACCGGCTGATTCTTCGATCCAGATCGCCGATCCACAGATTCGACACAGCTTTGGGGCTAGCCGATCCGAGTTACTGATCTATTTTTTTAAACCTTGATTGAAATGATACATAATATAAAAAGAATAATAAATAATAGAACTAATAGTATTATCCTATAATAATTGTTATTATTTTAATAATAGTATAAATAACATAAATCATAGATAAAGAGCAGACACATGCGGCAGAAGTTAACAAAGGATCCAGTTCCTTTTTTAATAGATAGAGTTTAGGGCGTCTATCATGAAAAAAAGACCTATGTGATCTTTTACTAGAGAATACATTTTTGGTTTTTTTTTTTTTTCCTTCACCCTTTTCTTTTGGCAAAAGATCACTTACATGTAGTCTCTATTATGCACTATGCTTGAGAATAAAATATCACTTATATGCGGTCTCTACTATGCATTATGCTTGAGAATAAAAGATAAGATTGCAAAAACAAAGGAAAGATAAGATAAAATAAATTTTAAATTCGTCTAAATTGAATAATATTTTTTTACTATACAATTCAAATTTTTTCATAGTGTGTTGTTTTTAAAGAAATTATAAAATTAGTGATATACTTTTTATATTGAGAAAATTACATAGAAATCCATTATATTTTGCATTATTATGGTTACACCAAATAGTTTTCGTTATTATAAAAGTATATGTTTTTTATCTTCCATAACGTTATTGTTTAAAAAAGATAAGTTTGCCCCTTTTCGGATGTTCAACATCCGAATTTCTAAGATTTTCGGATGTTGAACATCTGAAAATAGCCGTAGCTCCAACAATGTATTTTCCCATTTTCGGATGTACAACTTTCGAATTTTTGGGATTTTTGAATGTTGAACATCCGAAATTTTTTGCCCCAAGTTTTCCCGTTTATTGGCAGAAAGTTATTTATTTTCTTTTTATAAAGTTGGGAAAAATGCATCATACCCCATTTACTGTCCCCTAATACAGTAATCCACAAAGTTGAAGAGATCGACTCACTATTTAGACGTGATTGGTACCGTTCTTACTCTTGCCTTAAACTGTTGATTAATTGATGTTTATTATCTATTATTTTATAGGATATTATATTTTTTATTAATATTTGTTGTGTATTTTTTATTAATAAATAAAATTTGTTTTATATTGATGAAATTGTTTGTTTTATATAATTATTTATTGTTTGTGTCATGTTGATACATTGTATTCCATGTTTTGGCTAAATAATTGTTAAACTTGTTTGTTTTTATTAAATTTTGTCGCTTATTTTGTGTTTATTTGAGTATTTGTTGTTTTCTTTTGTTTAATGTTTATTAGACCCAATTTTAGTAGCACACTATTTGGTAATTTTTTTATATTGATTTTGTGTAACAGAATTTTTGTTATTTATTTAATACAATAGTATTGGCGATGGCTACTGAGGGAGTACAACTGGTATTCCGATATAGGGGATCATTTGAGACGAATACAGATGACAGACATGTTATTTATAAGAAGAGAAAAATTGAAGGTCACTAAGTATAATAGGAATAGTTCCTAGGATGAACTAAAAAGTCATTTTGGAAATTTAACTAAGTGTGATCCAAGCAAATTAGCTATTATGCACCACAACATAAGTTTATCTAGTGGGCTTGATTTGATTGATATAAGTGATGATATAGATGTATCTTTTATGTTGGGAGGGGAATCTTCAAGAATTGTAGTATATATTGCTGCTACAATG